GTTATAAAAAGCCCACTAGACGGTACAAGAAGCCTCCGAGACGGCCCAGGAGTGTTCCAAGGCGCCCACAAGACTGCCCCAGACGCTCCCAACACCCCAAGAGCGCTCCAAGAGCATCCCCGAGAGGGGCCCAAGAGGCCAACATCTGCGATGTGCCTTAGGTGTTTGATGGATTTGGGCGCGCTTGCCTTTTCATGTTACCGACGTTCTAAGACGGCCCAAGAGGACCCCAAAAACCGCCCCGAGACGGCCCAAGAGGCTCTCAAGAGCACCCCAAGACGATTCAAGAGGGCCCCAAAACGGCTCAAGAGATCCCCAAGACGGCACAAGACGGCCCCAAGACGGCCCCAAGAGTGACACTGGACGGGGGGCCCGAAACCTCGTGGCCCCCGTTCGGAGTTCCGACGCTGCTTCGCGACGGCGCCCAGTCCTCACAACACAGCTCTCGCGAGAAACTCACAACACAACACAGGCCCGAGCACGCGGGCCCGGCGCGCTGGCTCCCCCGGGGGCGAACGGGCGCCCAGGCGCGCCCGCAGGCGCCCCGTCGGGCCCCAGAAGGGCCCGACTGGGGCCACCGAGGGGGCCCACGAGGGATCGAGCCCGAGGCAGGCACCCGACTGCTCGTCGCACGAGGCTGCGAGGCGAGCGTCGCGGGCACCGCCCACTCCGCGGGGCGACGCGGGAGGGCCACCCCAGGCCCGGGCAGCATCCGAGGCGACGCCGCGTGCAGAGCCACCAGGCCAGGCGGGCGGCCGATCCTTCATTTTCGGGTGCCGGGTTGGCCTCAGCAGGGCCGCCGCAGGGGTCCCCAACGGAACCCCCACGAATGCCAGGGGGGCACCAAAGGCCCAGTGGTCCCAGGCGGAAGCTTGTGGGCCCCCAAGTCACTCGTCACCGCCGCGCGTACAACTCCCCATGCATGGCACCCCACATCAACGGCACGCTGGCCGTTCGAACCGCCAGGCCCGCCCTGGCTAGGACCGCCGCAAGGGGGGAAAGGCATTGCCCGGTGAGGGCCGCCATGCGTGCCAGAGTCGGCGGCAAGAACGGTCGTGCCCGCGCCAGGTACGCGACTGATCGTCGCACAACTGTATACGGGTGTCGCGAGGGCGTCCTCTGCGCGGAGCGACCTGGGAGGGCCACCCTGAGTCCGGACAGCATCCATGGCGACGGCGCGCGTTAAGCCTGCAGGCCAGACGGGCTGTCGCCCTCTCTTTCGGGTGCCGCAGTGGCCGCAGCACCGCGGCGACGGGAGCCCCCCGCGCCGCACAGGACGGCACACCTTGCACCCGAGCCCCCCCCACGTCGCACGCCAGGGCCGCAGGCCCTGGGCATCTCAGTCTCCCAGCTCATCTGGCCCCCAGCCGGCGGACCCAGCGCCGGGCCGCTTCCGCCAACTACCCGCCGAGGGAGAGATGCGCCCGCGAACGGTCAGGGCGGCGAGAGCCGAAGCACCAAAGGCCGAAACGTGCGCGAGCCAGGAGGGCCTGGGCGGGGCAAAGACGGGGCAACCTCCCCGAAAGCACGGCCAGACCAGGATTCTGCAGCGAGCCTTCCTGCGGCGACGGGGGAGGCGCCCTCCTCCACCAGGCACCCGGCCTCAAGCCCACCCACGCGGCCAAGGGCGTCGCAGTCGCGTCGAACTCTCCACGCACCCGGCCAGGGCTCAGTAATCACAACGAGGGGACCGCCACGGGGAGCGCGCTGCCACAGAGGGGGGCAGCCCGCTCGCTGGGAGCACCTGGCCGGCGCAAGAGCGCAGGACGGAGCGCAGGCTCCAGGGGCGGGCGCTCCTGCGGGTAGGCGGGGGCGGCCTGCCCTGCGAGGCAGGCCCGCCCGGCGCCGAACGCGGCTGGAGCCGCCAGCGCCGCGCGAGCCCAGGCGAGGGTCGCAACACCGCAGGGGGAGCCCAGACCTGGGGCCGGGCACGCCACGGCAGCATGCAGGGTCCACGCATGGTCTGGCTGGGCCCGCGGACCGCACCCCGCGGCAGTGCCGCGGCAGCGCCGCGCCCTCCCGCCCGGCCCGCTCCACGCCGTCGTGCCCGGCGGCCGCAGGCCCTCGGACGAAGGCCGCACAGTGGACAGCCGAACGCCTCCCAGGGTCGAAGGTGACGCGCCGCCTGCCCTCGTCTTGCGCCGCGCAGGAAGCGTGCCAACCACTGGCACACGCAGACCCAGCCTCGCGTCGGAGCCGGTTGACGCAGTCGCCAGGTGTCTCGCCAACAACGGGGCCCCCACTGGATCAGCCCGCGGGGACGCTTGCACAGCTGTCCTGCGCCCCCTGGCGCGGCGGTCTCGCGACGCCCTGGCCCATCGGTGCGCGCCCCCCGCTCGTCGCAACCAAGGGCCGCCTCGCCCGCCCGCGCGGCGGCGGCGACCAGCTCCAGAAGCCCGCCGGGCCTTGTACACTGGGCTCGAAGTCGAACGCGCCCTGCGGGGCACGTCGTGGAGAAGACCGCCTGGCACCAGCGCCGCCGCAGGCTGCAGCCTCCAGGGAGGCCGCAGCGGCGCCCCAGGCCGCCTCGGCGACGCGGGCGGCGGCAGCGGCCCCGACGGCGGGACAAGCAGCGCAGCCACCGACAGCAAAAGCCGCCGCGGCGGCGGTCCAAGCCGCCCCGCAGGGAGCAGCGGCGGGACCGCAGCATGCCGACGCCGCCGCCGCCAGCGCAGCACCGAAGGCACCGGCAGCAGCAGCAGCGGCAGCAGCGGGGCAGCCGCCCTCCGCCGCCCAAGCCGCCGCAAGCGGGGGGGGCAGCGGCAGCAGCAGCAGCGGTAGCAGCAGCACCGCCGCGCCAGGCGAGGGGCGCCCGACCGACGGCGGCGCCGCCGCGACATGGTCGGCCCGAGGCGGGGCACCGCGAGGCAGCCCCAAGCTTTTTGCCAGCAGCGGCCATGAGTGAACGCCAGCTACGCCTTCCTGGAGATGAACCTGCTGCAGCCCCAATCCCCGTTGAAGACGATGGCAAGATACCTGATCAGATGATTGTAATGGCAAAATCAATTACTCCTGATGGCACAGATGTAGACTCATGGCCCACGGACATTGAGACCTGGACGGCTAAGCTCACAGCGATCCCAGAGGTCACCCAGTCCGTCCTCAATGGCATTCTGAAGTCAAATAACCTCTCAGAAAAAAACGGGCCGTGACAAGGCAGCAAAAGTGAAACAGATCTACAGACATACCAAGGGACTCTGAGCAATGGCGAGTACAACATACATATTTATCAGACGACGATGCCGCCGACTCGTCAGACTTGCTGCCATAATATGGCTACCGCTTGCACTCTTGATGGATATCATGTTATTTCTTTTGACATGCTGCCGCGTGCCACGACGCCCTGCCCAATGGACCGCAGGCATCATAGTGCACGGTGCAATTCTCGCTGCTGCATACTCTCTTAGGGCGGGTGCAGCAGCAGCAACAGCAGCAGCATGTCTGTGCTCCTCCCCTTCTTTTGTCACTCCTGCTGCAAAGATTATTGAACTTGAGTTGCAGCTTAGCTCATCCATGTCCTCACTATTTATGTGTGCGCTCAGTGGCATCAGCATTGCCACACTAAGCATAGCACTTATCATATGTCGTATGTTTGAGCTAGGATTGTATATCTTGATCTGTTTTCCATGCAGTGCCTCTGTTATGCTCTCACTCTGTTTCTTTGACAGACTCTAGCAAGTGCTCATCCGTTGGTGGCTTTCCTGCTCGAGGAAGGCCTGGTGCGAAAGGCGAGGACGTAAGCCTCCTCATGAGCTGCATGCTCGTGACCCGTTCCAAGGCGACCAGCACCCGAGGCGCGAGAAAGGGGGAAGGGCCAACAGGGGGATAGGAGTAGGGAGAGTTGCTCTTCGATTCCTTATCCAAGCTCATCTCTTAGGTAACTCGTTGTCTACACACGTAGCAAGACCAGCAGCGGCAGCAGCGGCAGCAGCGGCAGCGGCAGCGCCAGGTAGGAGCTGCACGCCGCCAGCGCCAGCCGCCCGCCGCCCAAGGGCGGGCGGCAACAGCCGCGGCTGCAGAACCGGCGCCGAGGCCAGGCGCTGCCGCTGCCGGAGGGCGGCACCCGACGCACCGCTAACAGGCAGCGGGGACATGGTGCGGGGGGCGGAAGCTGAAGAAGAGGAGGCCCTCTGCCAGCCACCACAGGCAAGCAGGAGGTCGGGGCCGACCTCCTACCCCTCGGCAGCGGCCGCTGCGGCCCGCTCGAGCCAGAGCGGTTTGAGCTGAAGGTCTGCGGATAGCGCCGCGCACATGCGACTTACAAGTGCGTAGAAGTTTCACTGCTAGGAGGCGGATTGCTTTCAACATGTGGCGATCGCCATATCGACGCACATTCATCTTGAAATGTGCAACAGTTTGACAGATGGAGGACAGGCCGTTTCCAAAATGTGGCTCTCGCCTTAGCGCCGCGCACACTCGTCTTAAAAGTGCAACCATGTCACATCTAGAGGAAAGACACTTTTCAAAATGTGGATCTCGCATTAGCGCCGTGCATCGTTTTTTCAAGAGCTTGAAGCCGTTAAAGATCATCACAGCTGACGGCCCAGAAGTTGTGTCTTGGCACGAGTTAGACTTGCCAGGGCACAACAAGTCACATTGATTCGCGGTGCTGACATCCCAGGAATACTGCTCTGGCACGATTCAGGATCGCAAGGTTGCAACAGTAACGTTGATTCGCGGCGATGACAAGGGTTTTTTACGCCATGGAAGTGAATTCTTATAGTAGCATATGAAACGGGAGCTTGGGGGAGGGCTTCTTGCAACATTGTTGACGACTATTGGGTTTACTCTGGTCCTCCTCCTCCTCCTCCTCGTCCTCCTCCTCCTCCTCCTCCTCCTCCTCCTCCTCCTCCCCTCCCCCACTTCCTCCTGCCGCGCCCTGTCCCTCTCACTACCCTCCCCCCCTCCCCCCTCCCTCCGCCCCTCCCTCCCCCCCCCCGATGCCCCTCCGCCAGCCCCCCCTCCGCCAGCCCCTTCCGCCTCACCGCCGGCGAAGGCTCCTCCGCCTGGTGGATGGCCTTGTTGCTGGGGCCCTCCCCGGCCCTGTTCAGCTCGATGGCCAGCTGCGGGGAGGGGAGGCCGACGGCCGCGCCCCGCGGCTCGAGGGAGGATGGCAGGGAAGCTGGAGGATCAGGAGGAGGAGCAGGAGGAGGAGGAGGAGGAGGAGGAGGAGGAGGAGGAGGAGTTGGAAGAGGAGGAAGAGGAGGAGGAGGAGGAGGAGGAGGCGAGGGGCCCCACGACGGCCCAAGAGAGCCCGAGAATGGCTCAGTGATCCTCCAAGGCGGCCGCAAGACAGGCCAAGCCTCTGGAGGGGCGCAGAATTGCCTCAGAGGGCCGCTCAAGGACCCAAGACGACCCCACGACGGCCCCAAGAGACCCCCCTAGACGGCCAGGAGAAAGGACAGAGGGTTGTCGGGGACGGGCCTAACGATGAGCGATCCATGATCAACTGGAATCAGACACATCGTTATCCACAGGTCGGGCATGTCCTCCCATAGGCGGCTTTTGGAAGGAAAATTGCAAATTGTCCAAAAACGAATCCAACATTGTATAACAGAAACGACAAATCGTCCCCAGCGCATTTTGCAAGGGCTCCTAAGTTCGCGCTTCGCGCTGCGCGAAGCGCGAAGCGCGAATAACTTCGCGCCCTCGCGCCGCCCCCCCAAAGGGAGAAGAGGAGGACGAGGAGGAGGGGGGAGAAGGAACGAGGACCGCGAAGCGCGAAGCGCGAATAACTTCGCGCCCTCGAGGGAGCCCTTGTTTTGTGTACCATTCTTGGATACTCCTCCTGTAGAGGGGCGCGCCCGACGTGACGTCACCCGATCCCGAGCCGAGGGGCCGAGCGACGCGTCGAGGCCTCGCCTCGGGCTCGGACCTGGGCGAGGCCAACCCCGACGGGGCCGCACGGGTCCAAAACGTGGCTCCCGAGAGCGGGGAGGGAGCGGGGTCGGCGGCGTCGGCGTGGAGAAGATCGGGCTCTACATCGCGCCGCCTCGCGGATGCATCGGCGACGCGGCGCGAACCTCCGACCCCATCGGCTCGGACTCCACTTGGGAGGCCGGATTCCTGAAAGACAGTGGGGGGCTTCTCTAGAAGAAGAAGAAGAAGAAACTAACGGCATAAATAATAAAACTGTTGGCGCTCCGCGCGCAGTTCTTGGACCTGCGTTGGACCGCGCCAGCGGCGGCGCCGGAGACGCCGCCGGGGGGGCCCCGCTCGGATCCAAGAAACCCTCGCGGAGCGCCAACCGTTTATGTTTAGGTCGTTTGTTTCTTCTTCTGGGCGGCGGGCGAAAGGGGGGGAATGAGAAGGAGAAGGCCTTCTCAGAAAGCGGCGGGACTTCTCAGAAGCCCTCGTGCCTTCTGATAAGTTGTTCTGTCTTCGAGGATGTCTCAAGAAACTTCTCAGAAGGCCGCGGAACTTCGGAGACTTCTAAGAAGGCCCGCCCCTTCTCACTTCCCCCCCTCGCTCGCCGCCGATCTTCGATTCTCTGAAGGCTTCTGAGGCCGGATGGCTGCTACGAAGCCCCCTGCCCTCTGAAGAGCGTCCCCCCCCCAGAGGGAGGAGGGAGGAGGGAGGAGGGAGGGCGGGAGGGAGGAGGGAGGAGGGAGGAGGGAGGAGGGCGGGAGGGGGGAGGGCGGGAGGGAGGAGGGAGGAGGGAGGAGGAAGGGAGGGAGGAGGCCGTCCCCCTCGAGCCCACCCGACTGTGCGCGCCGCTTTTGGACATCGGACGCCGTGCTTTTCTCGATCGCAGCGTAGCTCCAGGAGCTCTGGACCCAGTTCCCGGGACCATCCCCCCCTCCTCCTCCTCCTCCTCCTCCCACCTCCTCCTACCTCCTCCTCCTCCTCCTCCTCCTCCCTCCTCCTCCTCCTCCTCCTCCTCCTCCTCCACCTCTTCCTCCTCCTCCTCCACCTCTTCCTCCTCCTCCTCCTCCTCCTCCACCTCCTCCTCCTCCACATCCTCCTTCTCCTCATCCCGGGCCGTTTGTGGACGCAGTCCTCGAGGCCGGGGAGGGCCCCTGGAAGCCGAAAATGAACAAACAAATCGGGTCGTGATTCAAGAACGCTGGCGAGAGGACATGCTGGTCGGGTCGTAAAAATCGGCTCCCTGGCGGCCGTTCGGGACGATCCGGGCGCTCCTGGGACACTCTCGGCGAGGTGCAGCTGCCAGGAAGCACCCCGAGGCCGGAAAGCCGACGAGACCCGACGAAAACACCCGACGGAAATACTTCACCCGCCCGCGCCCACGAGCCCTGGAACAGGAGGCTGGACCACTTGCCAACGCTCGGACGTCCATCCACATTGCATTTCTGTCGGCGTCGCGCGCGGCTTCTGTTCCCCGATGTGGCCCAACGGATACTGGTCCAGATTCTCTGGCGCGGGCATTCACACTGGATAGACCCGATCCAAGGCTTCATGGAGGTTTCGAATGGACCAGAAAGTTAGGGCCCAACCCTGGGATACACGATGGGGGGGCGCCCATCCTCGATGGTGGTGCGTCCAAATAGCTCCCTTGGCATGCATCCCAGGGTTTCCCTCCTTTTCTGAGCGGCTTCATGTTCGAGAAGTCGGCATTAAGGGGGAGAAAAATCGCCTGCGGCCACAACGAGCGCTATGGGGGGGAGGAGGCGGGGGAGGGAGGAGGCAGAACATAGCTGCCCCCCCCAGACTGTGGTCCCGGACGCACTGCGGCAGTGCCGGGGACGCACCGAGGGGGGAGCGTTACGTAATGGAGGGGGAGGGCGGGAGGGGAGGGGGCATAACGCGCGCCATGGTCAGTAGAAGAAAAAAAAACTCTCGAGGCATCTGGAGGGGAAGAAAACGGGGACCATGACCAAGACTGAACGCAGAAACGTCGTGTCGACCTTGGTCAGCGTCGATCTTGGCCAGCGTCAATCCGTGGATAATCCTCGCGAATCGGCGACGGCCGATATGGACCATGACCCGGCTCGGCATCGACAGGATCCTGCGACATCTTGGCCATGGTCCCCGTGTTTCTTCCCTCGAGCATCGCCGAAGCAATGCACACGTCCGAGCGCAGCCACGGGCGCTGCCGTGGCCCCGTCCCCTCCACGAACCCGCGGCCCCTCCGCCGCGCAGGCGTGGCCCGCAAATAGAGGCCCCCAAAATGGGGTCGGAGAGTAGATGGGGTCGGAGGATAGCGCCGCATCGCCGATACATCGGCGATGCATCGGAGGTGCACAGGCAATGCATCGTCGACGTCAGCGATGAATACGCGACGTAGGCGTGGAGAAAATCGGGCAATGCATCGAGCCGCATCGCCGATGCATCGCCGATGCATCGCCGATGCATCGCCGATGCATCGGCGATGCGGCGCGATCCTCCGACCCCATCTACTCCGACACCATCTTGGAGGCCTAGATGGTAGCGATACTCGGGGGAGGAGAGGAGGAGGAGGGGGGGGGAGGGGGAGGGGGAGGGGGGGGGGAGGGGGGGGGGGGGAGGAGGAGGGAGGGGGAGGGAGGGAGGAGGGAGGAGGAGGAGGAAGGAGGAGGAGGAGGAGGGGGGAGGAGGAGGAGGAGGGGGAGGGGGAGTGGTGGGAGCAGAGGCGCGGAGGCGCGGCGCGGGGGCTCTGGGCTGCCGCGGAGCCGTGCCCATTGCCTCCCTGGGGACGCGGCGCAGCGCGGCAGAGCCCCGCCCCCCGCCCAGACATGATCGCGGCGGAACAAGAACAAATCGGGGAACGTCCTCCTCCTCCTCCTCCTCCTCCTCCTCCTCCTCCTCCTCCTCCTCCCTGCCTTCTCCTCCTCCTCCCTGCCTTCTCCTCCTCCTCCTCCCTGCCTCCTCCTCCCTGCCATCCCGCCCGCGGACATGGTCGCGTCGCACAAACAACTCAGGACGGGAAGTATTCGGGCTATTTTCGGCCTCTGGGGGCCCTCGCCGGGCCTCGGGGCCGTCAAAAACTGCTCAGGATTGAAAGCCAGTCCCGGGGAAAGGGCCGGGACATCCAGGGACCCCGTATGGAAAAAAACAGGACGTCGCATGTCTGGGAACGAGCGGTGTGGGACTGGGAGAAGGATGGGAATGGGGAGGGATGCGGGATGAGGATGAGGATGGGGATGGGGATGAGGAGGATCAGGATGGCATGCGAGAAAGCGTCGGAGATCGGGCAAACGGGAGCACGAAGATGCTGGGGAGGAGGACGAGGAGGGTGGTGAAGAGAGGGAGGAGGGCGGTGACCTTGACATGGTCACGAATCACGTCTGGCTGGCGGGTGTACAGCGCATCCTGGAGCTTGACGGTGGCCTGTCTGATGGCGTCGATTGTCGCCTCTCGGGAGGGATGGCCAGGACGAGCGGGCGGGTTCATCATCCTTCTCCTCCTCCTCCTCCTCCTCCTCCTCATCATCATCATCGTCAGCATCATCATCGTCAGCATCATCAGCAGCAGCATCTTCACCATCACCATCGCCATCACCATCACCATCATCATCACCATCATCATCATCATCATCATCATCATCACCACCACCACCACCATAATCATCATCAGCAGCAGCAGCAGCATCAGCGTCCTCATCAGCGTCCTCATCAGCGTCCTCATCATCATCATCATCATCATCATCATCATCATCATCATCATCAGCATCATCATCATCATCATCATCATCATCTCATCATCATCCTCATAATCATCATCCGAAGCATCATCACCATCATCAGCAGCAGCGTCACCATCATAATCAGCATCATCATCAGCATCATCATCATCAGCATCATCATCATCGGCACCACCATCATCATCATCATCATCATCATCATCATCATCATCATCATCATCGGCATCATCGGCATCATCGTCATCATCTGCATCATCATCATAATCAGCAGCAGCAGCAGCATCATCACAATCAGCAGCAGCATCGTCAGCGTCATCATCATCCTAAAACAAAATTGTCCTCCTCCTTCTCCTCCTCCTCAAACCTCTCATCCTCCTCCTCCTCCTCCTCCTCCTCATAGTCCTCCTTCCCCTCCTCCTCCCCATACAATAACCTGGAACGCCTGAAAAAATCTGGCGCACGCAAACATGGATTACGGATCTGTGGATCTGGCGCGGAGGCGCCAAATCCACGGGTCTGGGAAGGTACCCCCCAACGCATGAGGCCAGTGCCGCCTCATCAAGCGACAGATCGCGTCGATTCTGTATGGAAACCGAACCGGTCGATAATATCAGAGTCTCAACCCATGTATGCGTTTTCCTACTCCGCCTCCCTCCTTCTCATCCTCCTCTTCATCCTGCGCCTCCTTCTCCTCCTCCTCCTCCTCCCTCCTTGTCCTCCTCCTCCTCCTCCTCCTCCTCCTCCGCCTCCTCCTCGTCCTCCTCCTCCTCTTCCTCCTCCTCCTCCTCCTCCTCCCCCCCCTCCTCCTATCGCAAGGCAACCCTATACGCTCACAGCTGTACGTCTATACGTACCCACGCGCGCCTGTGCATGAGTTGAACAAGTAACAAGAACACGGACCGAACAGAAAAAATGCCCACCAGTGCAAAATCACTGCGACGCACAAGGGGTTTGGAATGGCAGCAGTAAGCAGATCAGTGCCACGCAAAGCGGAAGCAGTGGCAATGCAACGCCGCGCGGGCATCTCATGGGGGCCATATTCGCGACTCTTCGGGCGTCTTGGTGTCTCGTGGGGATGTGTTGGGTGCCTGGACTGGGGTGGTTGTGGCTTCTCGGGTGCATTGTTGAGCTGACTGGCACGTCAAGCCGTCTTTTGGGCGTCTTGGATCCTCTTGGACGTTCGCTGGAGAGGCGGGCCCAGTCGGCGAGGTCGAGAAGGCGGGTTGCTGAAGCGTGAGTCCTACATGAATCGCGAGGAGAACTGGAGCGAGATTCCCAAGCAAATGGCTGGAAAACCCAAAGCGAGAGCGTGACTCCTGAGTGTCGAGGGCGCGGCGTCTGAGTAACTTGCGAGGAGGTCCCACGTGAAAACGCGATTCCTGCATACATTGTGTTCACGTCCCGCGCGAGAGCGCGACTGCAGAATAGCACTGGTTGTTGTAGTTCGGAGCCCGAAAACGCAGTTTGAGCACGAAGGTTGCGCCTGATTAAAAAAAACAGGGTGCGAGCCCCGAGGGGGCGAGGGGGGCACTTCAATTGAAAAACACAATGTGCACCAGTGAGATTCGACGATAAGTCAATAATCAAGACTGAGAGGTCAATAACAACAACAATAACAACAACAACAACAACAACAACAGCAACAGCTACAGTAACAGCAACAGCAACAGCAACAGCAGCAGTAACAGTAACAGCAACAGCAGCAACAGCAACAGCAGCAGCAACGGCAACAGCAACAGCAGCAACAATAACACCAACATTAACAACATTAACAACAACAACAACAACAACAACAACAACAACAACAACAACAACGACAACGACAACGACAACGACGACGGCAACAACGACAACAAAAATAATAATACTACGAAGAACAACAACAACCATGTTAAGACTGCTCGATGTTACACGCTCGCGTGCCATTCAACACGTATATCCCGAACCCTCGACACCCGCCCTCTTCGTCTTCGACCGTACCCCGTTGGGGGTATATTTCTTACCTAAAACGTGTATTTCGTGCAGCCCCTGATGCAGGGAAAGAGAGGACGGATGGAAGGAAGGGACAAGGGGAAGGGAGGAGGATGGAGCATGAGAGAGACTAGAAGGAGAGGGGCCAGGAGCAGAAAACGCGTGGCAGAACCAGACAGGCAGATCGGGCGGGTAGACCCTACCAGGCGGGTCGGAAGGAGGGCCCAGGCGGCCAGGTCGAGCAGGCAGGTTGCTGAAGCTTGCGTCCTGCATGAATCGCGAGGAAGCAGCGCGATTCCAAAATCAATTGTGGGGAATTCCACAGCGAGAGCGTGACTCCTGAATGTCGAGGGCGCGGCGTCTGAATAAATTGACAGAGCGTCCCACGCGAGAGCGCGATTTGTAACTTGTGAGGAAATCGGGCGGGAGCCGTTGTTGTTGTTTCGGGCCCAACAACGCAATTTGAGGAGGTTGACTTCAATTGAAAAACAAATACGTTACCGGAAGGGGGGATCAACATTCCCAAATACTCTGTACCCGCCATCCCCGTCTTCGATCGTACCCCCTGTAGGGGGGAGATCTGTCTTCGCTGCCACGTGTAATTGGCGCAGCCTTTTCTTTAAGCACAACACCGAGGTACTGGAAAAGGGAGAGCGAGGAGAAGGGGAGTAGGGGAAGGGAGGTAGGAGGGAAGGGGCAAATGGAGAAATACGCCACTAAAGGGGAAAACCCTTAAACGGGAGGAGGCCACCGAGGGCTGCACAGGGGCCAGGAAGGGCAGCGAGAGGGCCACGAAGAGTCACATCGGGGCCAAGAAAGTCAGCGAGGGGGCCACGAAAGGCGACCGCGTGGCTGCCTGGGCCACGAATGGCCTTGGGGAGGCCACGAAGGCAGCGGCGGGGCCTTCAGATCCGACTGCGGCATCGCGAGGGGCAGCGAAGGCATCGGAACGGGCGAAAAGCAGCGAGGGACGACTGCGGGCCTTACCGGGCTGGTCAGGCGGGCGGACCCTGACAGCGGGCGGGTCTCGAATACGCGAGCCCTGCATACTTCGCCAGCAAGTCTGAGACGAGAGCGTGATTCCCAAGTAAACTACGAGGACGTCCAAGGCGAGAGCGCAGTTCCTGAATGGCGAGAGCGCGGCGCCTTGGCGAATTGCAAGGGAATATCAGACGAGAGCGCGATTCGTTTGCACATTGCAAGGGGGCCCCATGCGGTGGGAGCGGGGGGGCCCGATGAATTGTGGGGAAACCTCAATCCTGAGCCCTTGTTGTTGTAGTGCTGAGGCCAGGGGCCAAATTTGAGCCTCACGACTCTCCCTGATAGAAAACAAAGCGCGAGCCCCGGGAGGGGCACTTCAAATGAAAAGCAATGTACGCCAGAGGGGGGATCGACATCAAATATTGCTCGAGAGTGAAAGTTCAACAACCGCAGCAACAACAACAACAACAACAACAACAACAACAACAACAATTACTAGCACGTGGGGACACTCCGTTCTCACCAGTGCCAGGGTTTTCATAGGAGGCGGGCAATACCCCCACTTTGTGGGGGGGCCGGTTCAAGCTCTACCAAATTTCCAAACGACTCTTCGCCACCACCCACACCCAGCTTCCCGCCCTATGACGTTCGGACACTTCACTTCGTGGCATGCGGACGACCGTGGCTACTATTCAGGGCCCCGCGGCCGACGACGACGGCGTGCGCGCGCGAAGAAAAAACGAATGTGTCCCGCATGGTATTATTTGACAGGGATGATGGCCCTGGCAGGTGCGCAACCGTTGTTGCAGAAGTTCGAAAAAGTTGCTCGCAAAAGCCCGTTTGACAGAAATGTTTAAAAAGTGTTGGGTTTCCTACGAATCCGCAAGAGCGCGCGGGATGAAATTTTGACAATTTGTTTTGAAAAACCATTGGTTTTTTTATGTTTTTATGTTAAAATCGCTACGAAAACTAAGGTTTTGGAAGGATTTCGTCTTGCGCGCGCGAATGTCCACTTTACCTTATTTTTTGCAAGGGATTCTTGAAGTTTGGTTATGTTAGAACAAGAAATGTCCACTTTAGCTTATTTTTTGCAAGGGGAAACCGATCGTAACAACACAACCGGATCCGGACCAACCCGTTTTGCCTGAGACTTCCTCACGAAAATGATGAAAACGTGGCTGCGGCCTAGGCGCGGCGGGGGGGTCGTGCACCAGGGGCCCCAACAATAATTATTCTTTAGAAGTAATAATATTCAACAACAACAACAACAACAACAACAACAATCATTTTAAGACTGTTCGCCCTTATCTGCTCGAGTGTCCATTAACGCGTATTTCCCAAACCATCGATACCCGCCCTCTTCGTCTGCGATCGAACCCCTTTTGGGGGGTATGCTTTCTTCTTCCCTTTAGTCCGGGCCCTGGCAAGCGGCGGGGCGGCCGCGGACCGTCGGCCTGGCCTGCGGCAGCGCTGATCGGCGGGGCGGCCGCGGACCGTCGACCCGACCCCAAGAGGGACGGACAGGGAACCGACCACAACGACGACGACGACGACGACGACGACGACGACGACGAGCAAAAGCGAGAGCGAGAGAGAACGACAGCAGGGCCACAAGGACACGAAGTAGAGTAGGCCACGTAGGGCGACAGCGGGGACACGAAGGGAATGCGTATGGGGCCACAGAGAGCGCGAGCGAGCGGGGGCCACGAAGGGCAGATAATGCAGGGCCACAGAAGGCAACGATGGGGCCACTGAGGGT